GCGCTACACGCATCGAACCTCTTCTTAGACGAAAAATTATTTCTAAGCATTTTCAAACGAATGATATATTTTCTGAGTAGAAACAATCTGTTTTACTCAATTAATAAGGATACGGCGCTCTAAAAGATGGCGAGAATTGTGTCAAGTACTCAATTAATAAAGATACGGCGCTCTAAAAGATGGCGAGAATTTTGTGACACTATTAAGATAACAACAAAATTTAAACTGCAAAAACTGAAGAAAAGGATTGCACTAAAAGTGGAGCTCAACAACAGACCAAATTACCTCTATATTTGTACTGACAAATACTACCGGCGTAAGAGAGTACGCAGATACGCAGATTTACATTATTACATTTTTCTTCTTTACGTTAAAAACACCATACCATTTTCTTATTATTTCCGTCCACGCAAAGAATATGTGAAACAGCTAGGAGAGGCTTGTATATGTACCGTGTATCATAACCTATACACCGACATGTACTGTATGATCGTTTTAATATCGAGTAATAGATCGGTAAAATTCATTAAATACTTGCAAAAATTTTAATTGCCCTCAAAAACATGCGCATACTATTTCACGAAAGAAAATGAAGTATTTTTCACTAAAACAAGCACATAACAGAGCAACGTCTCGTCTTCCACTACAAGAGCGAACTGCGCTAACAATAAAAACAATATATAATAAGATTTGGACAAAACGAGAATCTAATCTACAGTGTGTTGGGATGATCGAGGCGAGAATATTTTCCAAACTTTACCGAATTAACGGCACCAGAAATAGTATTAAGAATGTAAAAAGAATGAATAATTAAGAAGAATAAAAAAGAAAAAGCACTGGCTGAGCAAAGATATGGGCGAGCTTTGTGTACAGTGAGAGGGTAAACATTGGCAGTGCGTGTACAGCTAGGGCGGCAGCAATGCAGGGAATTTCTGCAGGTCTCGCGTCGTGCCAATAAGCGGACCACGCATCGCTAGCACAGCCTTCATGGAAATTTTGGTACGGAGAACGTATTTACTTATAACTACTCATCTGGGGCCATACTTTCAAAACTGGCTAATTGAACGTAAGTACTTACGCTCTATTTTCTTCTATATGATTGGTGGATTTGGCTTGAAAGGCCGTCAATGATTGGCTTGATGAACTTACGATCTCTTAACTTTTTTTGAAAGTATGGGCCCTGATGATTAAAAACTGACGGAACTTATGGTACGGAGAACGCATTTACTTAACTAATCATCTGATGATTAAAAACAGACAGACGTATTAGGTACGGAGAACGTGTTTATTTAACTATTCATCTGATGATTAACAGCTGACTGAAGTTATGGAACGGAGAACATATTTATTCTACTAATCATCTGATGATTAACAGTTGATGGAACTTATGGTACGGAGAACGTATTTATTTAACTACTCTTACCAACCTCGCGCAACACTGCATGCGCGGTATCATCTCTATACACGACGCTACACCAATTGTACTACGAGCGTCAAAAGATACAACAGATTCCTGAGACAGTACCGATACTTTCAAAAAAAGTTAAAAGATCGTAAGTTCTTCAGCCAATCATTGACGGCCTTCCAAGTAAAATCTACCAATCATAGACAAGAAAATAGAGCGTAAGTACTTACGTTCACTTAGCGAGTTTTGAAAGTAAGGCTCCTGGGGCCATACTTTCATAACTCGCTAAGTGAACGTAAGTACTTACGCTCTATTTTCTTGTCTATGATTGGTGTATTTTGCTTGAAAGGCCGTCAGTGATTGGCTGATGAACTTACGATCTCTTAACTTTTTTTTGAAAGTATGGGCCCTGGTGTCATAAGTTTCTCAATGTTTGAGTGAGTAGGTAGTTTGATCATTTGTATAGTAGTCGTCATGAAGTTCGCAGTGGTTCTTATTGACCTAGCATGTCTGCACAATTAAGCATTAGCAGTGACGCAGCTCGCACATGCAGGCGATGCATCACATTTTGTAGCATGCGTCTTGAATATCATTATTAAATCATAGAAAAACTCTGTGTCCTGCAATATTTGTACCTCGAAATTCAACGTTCAACAAACTCCATGTCCTGCAATATTTGTACCTCGAAATTCAACGTTCAACAAACTCCATGTCCTGCCAATGTTTGTACCTTAAAATTCAACGGTATGAAGTTGGGCATCAATCTGGTCCACTGATTTACCTAAATTTTGTTCACGTCGAATGAGTTCAATTTTATCGCTTACGCTAGAAAATAAAATGCATTATTTCAGCTGAATGTTGTCTTGCTGTGCTGCAATCGATATCGATCAACATTTGTGTTCCAATGATGGTTAAAGGTATTTATATAGAATGCTTTATTTTGAATTTTAATTAGCATTTACAGCCTGAATGCAGCCATTTTTTGACATCTGACGTAAAATTAATATTTCTCAATTTTCTAGTTTCGGTAAATAACAAAAAATATTAAATGTAAACAAATTGAGGTTGAGAGACTTTCCACAATACTTTTAAATTAGCGAAGTTGCTGAAAATTCTGGGCGGAGGTAAATGAAAATCAATAGATCTGAGAACATCACACGTTCTCATACTTTAATTGATAGTAAAATATCAGTAAAGAATTTGTTTGATATACGACGACCTGTCATTCGTTCGTAAAGTTAGCCGATGATATCCACAATATTCTCTACCATACACTTGTTATCATTTCCGAAACGGGGTTTGCTGTCTAGAGTCTAGATTAACATGCGTTACATCGGCGCCATGGATGATAGGGTACGCACACAGTGAAAGCCGGTTGCCAGCGTGCTGGTTACCTGCTCAGGCTGGCGCCTGAAACCATAGAATACAGAAGCCTATTCGTACAGGTTTTCACTGTGAACACTTACATCATTATCCTATGTTCATTCTTGTGGCAGGTTGGAGCAGGTTGCCCGCGCGGGCAAACCTGCTTCCACTGTGTGCGTACCCTTAGGCAGCAGGTTGATCAAGCAGGGTGACCGCAAGTTGCTGGGTTGGTTGCAGGCTATATTATACAAGTAGCGGTCGAAGGTTCTCTCGAGAGGTCGTATTCGAACCTAATGCAGTTGTATGCTTCAATTTTGAAATTACATCTAATAATAGAAATACATCTTTTTCAACTGTACTTTCTCGAATTTTCACATTCACATTTAGTTTTTCTTAAAGATTTATATTGTAATTTCTCCTATTATTGTACGCTATACATCATTTGAACTGGTGATGACATGACTGGTGATGACATGACTGGTGATGACACGACTGGTGATGACATGACTGGTGATGACATGACTGGTGATGACATGCAGTACATGTGCACCTGCAACGTGGCAGTACATGTACACCTGCAACGTGGCAGTACATGTATGTATATAAACCTACAGACATGACATATATGCGAATCTTTTCAGTGACATGTTTTGAAATTTTTATAATTTTAGACGAGTTGAGGTACGCACATCAATATATGGTTGTTACCATAAGATACACTACCATGTATTACCATATATTGATATTTACCATATAAACCTTTTGCTTTATAAATATTAAATAACGAAGGTCATTGAACGCTAGGACAGCTAAGACCTTTATACAGAATAACTCATTGATAATTAACGGTTTTCCAGCTGCTAAGTTACCTGTATGGAAGCAGAGGCGATCTGGCCTGTGTGGTCGTAGTCGAGGCTGAATATTTGTGTGAAGCG